AAATCCCGATACTCTGATACGACAAAAAAGAAAATTAAAACAAATTGAAAGTGACCTTCCTCTTATCAATCCAAACAATTATGTAAGATTTTCATGAAATCGATTCAAGCATACTGAAGTTAGTGTGGGATGTGTAAAAAATTGCCTTAAATCTGACAGGTTGAGTCCATGTTTTTACTCTGCTTTAATCTTCTTTCTCCAATAACATCAAATTGTATTGTACCAGGCTAAGGCAGACACACATATGTAATGTCTCTTTAGTGATGTTCGAGGCTACACTTTTTAACAAAACATAATACAAAGTTGAATAACTAATAAGCCGAATAGAACTTTCTCCTAATACGATCCCGTAATCTCTAGTCACCAATTATTTGTGATATGTAACAGTACCTTATTAAATGTCATTTAAAAGTTTTTAAATTATAAACACGCGGATGTTTCCGTCATGTTGCTTGACATGAAATGAAGATAAGATTTGTCTTTAGAACTTGTTATTTCACTTTTCATTTCCAGATATCATTTATTCAACTTGGGAAAAACCTTCAATTTCAACTCTTGAATCCAAATAAAACTCTTTTTACGTAGTTCTGTAACGACATCAATGTAGCTTGCTTCCGTCAATCATAATGTTGTGTTCAAATAACATGAGAATTGGTTAAAGCAAATTTGAGTTATCATAAGAAGTGTCGACGAATGGAAGGATGAACGGACGGACTTTGGTATACCATAATACGTCAAATTTTGGACGGGCGTAAACAAAACCCAAGGACAAAGATTTGAACACATACTGAATTTATTGCAAACTGGATATATGTAGTACCAATTTATTCTGTATATATTTCAATCAAAGAGTCAAGGCTTAAAATCTTGTAAAAGCAATTTTCAAACATTGCAAATTTTCCAGTTTTGCAAATATTGCATCGAAAGGTTGATTGATTGGTGCTTTGCTAACATATGTTAAGTGGCAATTATTTCAGTCATATTCAGGACGATGCAATGAAAGACAGACACTACATTGAATTACTTCCCATATAATCATCTTTTAGATAGTAATCCGTTTTTTCAAGTTTTTTGCAAAAATCCTCACAAACAACTAAAAAGTGCTGTTTTGAATGTCTTTGAAGTCGGTTAAACTTTCAGAAATACGCTAGGCTATTGTGTTGTAAAAAAACTTCAAGTATAAAAATAAAGTTGTTTAAATGCAAAGGTCAGTAAAAATTGGATTAATTAGGTAGGCGTATCTTGTTATGCATGCATCCCCCCATGCAAAATTTACACTTGGTCAAAATGTCACAATAGAATCGGTATAGTCATTATAAGATACGACTTTTCTGGTATTAAAAGATTTCTTAGACCGCAGAAACTTGTGTATATCGCCAATGTGTTGAGACACTTCATATCGATTAAATAATTCGTGATCGTGATCACTAAACTTATATCGTATCGATTTCAGTTGTCCTTCCTCAGAACCTTGTTAGAGCAGTTTTTTTTGCCTGGATCACAACCCTGTTTAGTGAATTTCATATATATAACATGTATAATGTGAACATGCCTGAGCGTAACGTATCAATGAAATATGTAAACACCACACAATTTAGAAGAGGATCGATACAATGTATGTAACTAATGAGAAATGGTAATTTTACAATAGGAAAGCTGAAAATCCCATGATTGATAATGTCAGAGATTCTAGTTTGATGTGGTCTATCTGTACATGTGTCCACACTCGTTAGACTCAAGGGGACTGTTGTCTTATTGGCAATCATACCACGTACGTTTCCTTATTGTAAATTGAAGACGGTATGTTTAAATACCCCTAGATGTCTTTTGATTTTTTTAAGTGGCTGGTATGTTGTCTCATTGATTAATATATGAGGGTCAGAATTGGCTTTACAAAATAGAGAAAATGGACAAAATACATTAAAGAAACTTAGAGGAAAATTTTCTGCAACAAAAAAATAAAAAAATGTTGCGGTGCTGATATATGACATTCTGCCAAAAGCTTAGTTTGTCATTGTGTAGCTATAGCACTGAAGCAAAAAAAACGTATATACTTGAAGCTCAAAGAATCAATATATAATATATTGGCCTCCTGTTGATTACATTACTTTCTTTTTGTTAGATTTTATGAAAATCCTCACTCATTATAATATTTGTTTCCTTCTATTTTTAGATAACGACTTGACCTAGATTCATTAGTCAGTTAGTTAGTTACATATAGTTACAAGGTTACTTTTCCAGACACGTCATTACGATTGAATGGTATTTTCTATTTTCAAATGTAATCTTTCAAGTGACATATGAATTAAGCTACCGGGGATTCCGGATAACCCACTTGACCTTACTGGATATTTAAATAAAGTGGGATTTTCCCTATACAAACGTAGATTCAACACCAAGACGTTTCTGTCTGCATGAATTATGTGTTGAGATTTACAGACCAGATCTAATTAGTAAGTATAAATTCTATCAATAATATTATACTCTTTAAAAGCAATAATCTGTATGATCGTGTTATCTGCATACTTCAAATGTTTTTTTGGAATATACATCACATGGCTTTTGTATAATTTCTTCGGAAATATGAAAAACGCAGCACCAGATGCATGTTCTGTAGTTGAAAATTTGGAAAACCTAGATCACTAATTCCCTCTGCTCAACGTTCGTCAATTTAAAAATATATGAAGAAAACACGGAGATTACGGAAGGTATCTCCCGCATGCATAGCTCTGATGTCTTTTACGATTTTGGCCTTACTTTGGTCCTTTGTGATTTTATATTTTCATAGTTTGTATCATGTTTGGATTTTCAAATAGTTTGGCCTTGAGTACACTGAAATGTGCATCTGGTGCACTGAGTAAAATTGGTACCGTTAATGTTATTTAGGTAGCATATGAAAGATACGTGGTATATATGCTTTTAACTATTTTCTGGTGTACAAAATATACTAACATAATTATGTACAACGTTATTTCGCAAGTCATTTGCAATTTGTTCATCCGATATTGATTTAATTATGTGTACCCTTTTGTCTTGTGCAAACATTCAAATAGATGCTCCGTTTTAATCTGTTTAAAAAAAGAAAAAACATAGTTATTACCTTGTTTAGAGGCACATACTGTACAATATGGTGAAGTGCTAGTGCTGAGAAAGAAAAGAAAAACATGGAACGGTAGGGGACGACCATTTAATTTTCTGGGAAGGGGGTCCAGAGGAATTTTCAAAATGAATATCCAGGCCTGGTTAAAAGCTGAAAATGAATAACCTTGGCAATGCTTAAGAAAGGTTGAAAATAAATATTCTGCCACTCAAAATTTATTGCGTACAAAGGTGAAAAAAATAAGTATGCGTAGCGACAGATGAAAATGAATAGTGAATCCGCAAAAAATCCTCTTGCCCCCTCCCAAATATATCAACTGGTCGTCCCCTTACGTGGTATTATTCCGGGTCTATATACTTCAATACTCACATGTAGTGTCGTCGCCACTTAACAAGGAATTGCTATCCGTTGATAGGTTTAGTCTGAAAATTGCATTGAGTAATGAACCCCCCTTTTTTATAAAGTATTCACTGTGATGATGATGGATGGATATTTAACGTCCAATGGATATGAACATGATAATGTGATTTGAATATGAACTCTGATTTGCACTAGACCATGGTCAACACAGTGAACCGAATATTTAACGTGCTCAATCACAAAGTAATAATCCACAGTAAGACATATCACCGTACTCGGACACATTATTATCACTCCGGGCCAACCAATTTTACTCTAACACATACATGCCGCGTTTTGAGCGGTGGAGTAGGAAACTATTTTTTAGTCTATGGTTTAAGCCGGTTGAGATCGAACCACAACCTCTTGCAATCGAGGCGAGCATACTACCATGTGACCACAAATAAAGCCTCTCACTTTTATTAGTCCCCTACCGACGAAGTCGAAGGGGACTTAAGGTCTGTCTGTCTGTCTGTCTGTCCATCCGTCAGTTCAGCAAATCAGTTTTCCACACTTTTTTTCTTCGTGCTTGACGATATTGATTTGATATTTGGTGTATTGTTTTATCATGACAGTTACAGATCAAGTTCAAATTTTGGTCCGGTCTAATGATTTTGTGCAGAGTTATGGTCCTTGGACTTAGAAAATTCACTCAAATAATCAGTTTTCCGCACTTTTTGTCGTCATGCTTGAAGATCTTGATTTGATAATTTGTATATAGTTTTATCATGACAAGTTACAGATCAGGTTCGAATTTTGTTTCGGTCTGATGATTTTGTGCAGAGTTATGTACCTTGGACTTAGAAAATTCACTCAAATAATCAATTTTTCACATTCTTTTTCGTCATGCTTGATGATTTTGACTTGATATTTGTTATTTAGTTTACACCATGACAAGTTATAGATCAAGTTAGCATTTTGTTCCAGTACAATGAATTTTTAACCGGTAGGGGACTATGTATTGCCAGGCAATACTCACAGAATGCTTGTTATGTTTATATTTTGAAATTTTGAATACAAACGTCTTGCATGTAAAAATTAAACTGAATGCCCCTTAGACTATGCCTACGAAATATTGCAACCCCTTCTCAGATTAACTTATTAGGGCAGGTACAACCAAAACGAAACCAATAGCTCATGGAGTCACTATTTCAGGCTTAAGTCGATCAGTAAAATACAAAGTACTTTTTCAGAAACATCTAGTTTGAACAGCTTTTTAATACTATTCTTTTTCTTGTACTCATGTTCGTTCAAATTATAAATTGTGGATCCATGAAATTCAAGAACATTATCATGCTTATCATTTTGAATGACACCCACGCATAAATGTGCCTGTGTAATGGAAAGTCTCAATCATTACATGTAAGTTTCTATTCCTAAACTACATGTAAGTCTTACATTTTCTTATGGTTTAATATTACCTGTATTTTCGTGTTTATACACTGCACTTTAATTTATATGATATTAAAACCCGTGTAATTAATATTTCATTTAGATTCAGCTATCGGATTCTAGTTGTGTATTGAGATTATACGTATATTGATAAATCGATATATGTAGAGGTAAGTGAACATAACTATTTGATGGAAAATGATTTCGTTTAGGAAAATAATATTATATTGATACCAGTAGCAAACATTAGATTATAGAAAATATTAAATTTTCCACTTTGGAGACTTTTTTTTATTATTTTGTTTGCTATTTTGCAATAAAAACGGTCACCCTTTCCCCTTTTTTTTAACTTCGTTCTATCAATGTGAGTAAAAGGGTATCAAAGACAAAAGAATTAATTGTCTATATTCGATATAATTCGTTATATTAGGAATTGTCCCCAAAGCTAGTTTCAATAGAAAATATTGTTAAACAACTTTATTAAAGCCCCGCCGATAAATCGCAGGCATGCCTTTAGTAATGAGCTTGTCCGTTCGTCCGTCATAAATTCGTTTTCTTCTAAACTTTAAAACTTTTAAACTTTAAAACTCCTTGGCGTTCTTCAAGTTCCAGTGATGAAAGTTGGCCTAATCATTTATAAAAATGTTCCCCCCACCAGAAGGTGTCGTGCACACAAAAGCAAACTGTACACTTAAAAGTTATGGTTGAAAAAAAATCAATTAGCCACAACTGTACATTTTTTTCTTACTCTTACTTTAAAGCAACATGGGAGTTCAGAGATGAAACTAGGAATTGTTACTTAAAAGTCATCCAATTGCTAAGACTTTTGATACATTGCTGTGCTTAGTCGATTTTGAACCACATATTTTAATTTATGGAATGAAATGTTCATTTCAATATTTTACTGTAACCTAGGAATAGTCATTTTCAGCATTTGCGTCTTTCGTTGTCAACTCCGTCCATCGTCCGTGGACCATCGTCAATGTCTGTTGTCCCTAATGGTGTAAAAGTCATGCTTGCATTTCTCTTAACAAATTCAACAGGAATTACGTATTGGTCAATTAAAAAAAAAATCCTATCTGAAACTACAGGGCGAAATAATTTGAAATTCTATACAGCATGTACATATGATCTTTATTCAGTGTTGGGCCGTTTGCAAACCTGGCGGCTTTGGTGGTATATCGTTACCATTGAAGTCTTTGGTGCATCTCGTTCACTCAAACTTCTAGACATAATTTAAACAAACTTGCAGGAATAATGTATCGAATGTCCGACACAAGAGATTTTCATTTCGTTCCGATAAAATAAAAAAAAACATGGCCAGTAGAGGCAACTCGCTCTGACTTTCGTTGGCCTTTTTTATCAAATCTTTTCAGATGAATAAAAACAAGGTGAATGATGATATATAAGGACTCGATGGCACAAGATAGAACTCACAATTTGGTTTTCTCTGAAACTGCATCATGTGCATTGTCGATGCGAAATTAAACTTTAAATTTTGTTAATTTTGGATGTATCCTTCTTAAACAGTCTTCATGGCTAATACAGACCACTGTAACAAATATGATATACAGCAACAAACAAGTCTGCATTTGACCATGTTTTAAATGCTTGTGATTTTTTTATTCAGATGTTCCTTTCCCAAGTAATTGTCCTTATGTTGGTCACTAGCGTCATGGCTGAAGACGTTTGTCCAAAGAAATGTTTCTGTAACAAACAATTGACATCGGTGAATTGTGAAGGTCATAAACTATTAAGCGTTCCAGACAAGCTTCCGAAGTCAGTTGAGAAGCTATATATGACACACAACAGTATAATACATGTTAATTTTTCTGCAAATGTCATCTTACCAAACCTTCGATATGTCTGGCTGGACAATAATAAAATTGCAGGATTGCAAGCTAACGCATTTGATGGTAGCATTGTTCCTAAGCTTTCTAAGTTGTATCTTAGGAACAATAAGATATCTGTGATAGAAAGCAGAACTTTTGTTAACATGTCCTCATTAACCCAGGTCTATCTAAGCAACAATGACATTCAAAAAATAGAACCAGATGCCTTTGAAGACACTCCATCAGTTCAGTTAATAAACTTTGACAGTAATTATTTGTCCGAAATTCCAAGACTTGGGAAATTAAAAAGTCTTAAAAGTCTTTACATACAGGCGAACCAAATTTCTAATCCAAAGTTTCCGGATGAGTTTATGGATCTGAAGAAAATTAACGACATTGGCTTGAGTAACAACGCAATAAGGAAACTTGGTGATTTGACATTTAGAAATTTGCAAAATTCAGATGTAAGGAAACTGGAAGTATCAAGGAGTAAAATTGATGAAATATCTACAGGTGCTTTTAAGTGGCTGAAGAATATAACATCCCTTAAATTAGGCTATAATCCTTTGACAAGTTCAGATTTAGAGATGGCATTCCATGGTCTTGTAGGATCGAGTCTGGTGTCGTTGAATATAGATAATATAACTCTTGGTGGAGTATTACCCTCTTCTACTTTTCAGTTACTTCAGAATACGTCAATAACGACCCTTAGTATGAAAAATAACAAAATGAGCAGTATACCCCAAAAGGGATTCGCAAATTTAAAGAAATTGATCAGCTTAGATCTCAGCGCTGCGAACATTTTCAAAATAGATGACAGTGCTTTTGAAGGGCTGGATGGATTAACAAGGTTATTCCTCAACGACAATCAGCTATCCCAGGTGCCTAACAATCTTCCTCCATCATTACAAAAGTTATATTTAAATGGCAACCAAATCTCGGCGTTGAAAGACAATACCTTTATGAAGTTGTCAAAACTACAGTTACTATACTTGGGAGGTAATAAAATTCACCAGCTTGAACAGAATGCTTTCTATGGTCTTACTAGCTTGAAAAAGATACACCTTGTGGACAATAAAATACATACCTTACCAGGAAGACTCTTCGAATCTTTCGTTGTTTTAGATTCACTCGAACTTAATAAAAATAATATAAACCAAATTCCGAACGGTGACAGTCTTTTTGCATCCATGGCATCTCTGCTGTATCTGAACATGGCCGACAATGCCTTTTCATCCTGTTCTTTTGGGCTTTTTAATGTCCTTTCATCGCTTAGATATTTACACCTTGAAAATAATCAACTTGGTGAGGTAATTGCTAGAGACGTCAATGGTCTTCTGTTTGCCGGAATGGACAAACTTGTCTTATTGAACTTGACCAACAATCAATTGACACAGCTTCCGGGTCCACTTTTCAAAGATCTGACAGGTCTACAAAAACTATCTATGAGATCGAACAAGATATCATCATGGGGAGACAACTTATATAAAAGAACTTTCAAACTAGAAAATCTTGATCTTTGTCAAAATATGATTGCTCTGGTCAATTCGTCATCTGTTCGGAACTTTAAGAAAATGAAGACTCTCGATCTACGTCAGAACCCTTTTGCTTGCACGTGCAACTTGCGATGGTTCCGTGATTGGATGAATACAACAGAAATAGCGATTTTGCACAACGATACGTATCTCTGCAATTCGCCTCCTGAATGGCATGGAAAGAAACTTCTTTCTTTTGACAGGAATAAAATTAATTGTAAATGGTTTACTAAACAAGATATTATATATGCATCAGTTGGCGCTTTCGCGTTTTTTGTTCTAGTTGGTTCTTCTGTGTACAAAAAACGCTGGTCTATCAAATTTCTATGGTATAAAATTCAGAGATATGTGAGAAAGTCTGTTGGAAGCAAACCTGGCGGTTATCAGAAACTGGATGGAGATGTTTATACATACGATGTATACATTTCAAGTGCCAACGACAATTATCAGTGGGTTTTGAAAAATATCTTACCCGGAATAGACAGTGGCCATGGAGATCAGGGTGAATTCGGTGGTGAATTTACACTTTATTTCGAGGAACGAGACGCCGAAGTCGGAAAAGCTATAGTCTATAACATCATTGAGAATATGGAAGCAAGTCAGGCTGTGCTCATTATACTCACAAAAGAATACATCGCAAAAGAGCGATACGAGTTAGAAATCGTTACAGCAATTGAATTATTACATAAAGGAAAAATTTCTGACATTCTGATTGTCAACGTTGATGGACTCAAAGCTAACCAAGTTCCCAAGTTACTGCAGAGTAAGATGGAGAGGCACGACTTCCTAACATGGGAAGATTCAGAACTGGCAAAATTGACATTTAAAGAACAATTAGTTGATCGATTAAAAAGAAAGAGAAGCATGATGGAAAAAGTTATATGATCCTTCTCATACATTATGAAACTTGATACGAGAATATTCAAGTTTGATATTATTTTTCAAAATTACACCTTATTGGTGAAAAATGACCGTCAAACGATTGTGGATATCAATTAAATTATTATAATGAAGAGTTTAAGGGTTTCATAATTTATGAGAGTGATTATACAACTGTACATCTTGCGTGCAGATGATTGACCTAAACTCAGTGTTTGGTGAATCAATAATGCAAATTCTCGATGCGAATCAATGGCTGAGTCTTACGATACTTTAAATATTCTTTGACATAAATGTTTCCTTTCTTTAAATGAACGTATTTTGCTAACATATCATGTCGCTTGCTTCTATAGGAATATACGCACCTTCTAATTCACTACGGGTTATTTTGTTGTTGTTGATCAATCATCTATGTCATTGATACATATAGATATGCAATCTGGATATAATGCAGACAAAGGTTGAATATCTGATCATAATCGTATGGTCAAATCTTTGAGTGCCATAAAACCGTAGTACGAGATTTTCAAAATTTTAAACTTTATAGATGACTACGAGCCTTAGATTTGGTTAAGGGGCTCAGTTTTATGTTCAGACATCAGTGAATGCATAATCGAACTTGTCAGTAAATGTTTTTATAAGATATTACACAGTGTTGATAGTTTCTTTTTGTAATGCTTAGGTAAACATTTTACAGCTGAATACTGCTTATTTTAATTTGTGCACCTTTTTTTTTATAATAACCATAATTTTTTTTAATATAAATTTCACTAGTAATTTTTCGGTATTTTGTCATAACATACAAAATCGTTTACATCTGATAGAATTCTTATGTACTTTAGTTGTTGTTTTTTTTTTTTTGGTAACATAGTTGTGTAATAATGTAAAACTGACAGACATATGGGAAGGCATATACATGTATGCAACTATTGTTTATGCATTGATAAGATGCAGGATATTTTCCATGTCACAATGTAATGGCCTTTGAATAGTGTGCGTATAAACGGTTTAAGAATTACATTATGCTATTTGTTTTGATGTAACAAACTTTAAAGTATCGAACATATTATTGCTCATTGGTTTTTTTTGGGGGGGGAGAATATGAATGTCATTTGTAGTAAATTTTGACCAGTTTAAGACAAGGCTTTATTATTTTTGTTTAGTAAATATTATAAATGGGGATAATAATTAGATTTATATTAACATAATTTATTATTATGTAATAGGATATTTCTTTCACAAGCATCGTCACTGTCATTCATAAGGTCTACTTTGAATCTTTATAACAATTCAGTGCACAAAAGCTTCGTTGTGTACTTTGATGGTAAAAGTTCCACAAAATAACTGTTACAGCTCCATAGTTGCTTCTCATCTTGTCAGTTATTTGAATTTCTACACCGATGAATGGAAAAGCTCACACCTAACAGGTTATTTATTTATTATATATATATATATATATATATATAACACTCATTTTACGAATTAACATATTCAATGCACGAAAGGCGTAGCCAGACACTGGTCTAAGCTCCTCCATTTCTTATGACACTAGGTCAACGGCGAAATTGATAGTGCAATAACTAATAAACAATTCCGTTAATGCACTCCTTTAAAGATAAAAGAAGTTAACTCACTCAAATATCAGGAGAAAAAATATCATTCATGTTACAACAAACTCTTGGCGTCAATCATGTCAATGACAAGTAAATACCAGTTCAGTGGCTCGGTGAGTGTGCGCCCCCAAAAACTGCAAAAGTATCGGTTTGAATGATAAAAATGATAGGAGAGTGGTGGAGGATGTGAGCAGGATGTAAATCCAGCAAATCAGGGCTCTGGGCCTGTTGGTGAAATAGGAAGGCAGTCTTAGATACCTCTCCTCTTTGTTTCTGAATATTCAAAACAATATTTTATAAATAGCACATAACTGTATTTTGATAGATTGAATTGGTTTTGAGTTTTTTTCTCAAAAGTAAACAGACGGTAAAATTCCCAACCAGAACCAAAAAAAAAATCTGAGATTCTATGTATCGCCTTTTAAATACAAATTGATCGTAATTTACTTCCAAGTGGCCTATGTAAAATTTTATATTCCCCCAAATTAAGTATTCTATTATAATTTTCCTCAACAGTGATGTATATTGAAGTGTAGGGAAAACTTTAATTTTTAAAAATTGAAAGGTAAAAGAAAGGCGAAAGATAACAAAGTGATATTCACTTTCATAACTCAAAAACAAACTGACAATGCCATGGCAACAAACAAAATGATAATGAAAAGACAAATAACAGCATACAAAACCAACCATATAAAACTAAAGACTGAACAACACGAACCCCACAAAAAACCGGCGGTGATCTCAGGTGCTCCGGGAGGGCAAACAGAGCCTGCTTCATGTGGAAAATGGTTTTTAAAAATATTGCTTATTAACTTTAAGCTGACCCGACCTAAAAGGCCAATTGAACTTTTGCCATCTCTTGGCGTCCGTCGTCCGTCCTTCGTCTTTAAAAATCTTCTCCTCGGAAACCATGGGGCCAGGTGTAACCATACTTTATCTTGAGGGAATCTAGTTTGAAAATTATACCAGGGAATTTGATCTTCACACGAACCATGGCTGATGTTGTTAAAAATAGAACAAAAGAGTGAAATGCAGTTTTTATACGACCGCAAAAAGTGACCAAAACAAGCATTTTTGTAGTTTCCGGACAATAACTTGTGTGTAAGTATATGGATCTCTCTGACATTGTACCACAAGGTTCCATATCACAAAGGAAAGGCTGGGATTGAGTTTGGGGGTAATTGCCCCAAAGGTTTAGGAATTAGGGGCAAAAAGGGGCCAAAAACAAGCATTTCTCTAGTTTCCAGACAATTACTTGTGTTGAAGTGTATGGATCTCTCTAAAATTGTACTACAAGGTTCCATACCACAAAGGGAAGGCTTGGATTGAGTTTGGGGGTAATTACTCCAAGGGAGAGGGGGTTAAAAAAGTTTGGGGGGATTTTTTTTTTCAAGTGTTTTTGGGGGTTTATATTTTTTTTCTTCAAATTTTTTAAAATTTCAAATTTTTTGTAAAGCTTCAAGAAGAAATCTTCAATTGTACAGTATTGCCAAATAGCACAGTATTGCGCAATAGCAAGAAATCTTCAGTTGCACAGTATTGCGCAATAGCACAGTATTGCACAATAGCACAGTATTGCGCAATAGCAAGAAATCTTCAGTTGCACAGTATTGCGCAACAGCACATTATTGCGCAATAGCACAGTATTGTGCTGTGATAAAGCGCAATAGTAAGAAATCTTCAATTTCAATGGGATTAATTTAAAGTCTTAAATTTTTGGGGGTTCTAACCTTGTAATAATATTTTGGATATTGGGTCCCATTTTTAAATTGGTCTACATTGAGGTCAAAAGGGTCCAAAATTAAACTTTGTTTGATTTCATCAAAAACTGAATTATTGTGGCTGTGTGATATGTTGAATTTTATTGTGCATTTAGATTTTTTATTTTGGGCCCTGTTTTCAAATTAGTCCATATTACTGTTTAAAGGGTCAAAAATTAAACTTTGTTTGATTTCAACTAAAATCAAATTGTTGTGTTTTTTTATATGCTGAATCTTACCATGTTGTTAGATTTTGGATATCAGCCCATTCTAGGTAAATTAAATGTCCCATTTCAAAATTTTAAGATCTTTGACTACATTTATTTTGTGTCAGAAACCTATATTATGTCAAAAATTTGATCACAATCCAAATTCAGACAGTATCAAGCTTGAATATTGTGTCCAAACTTGCCCCGACTGTTCAGGGTTCAACATTTGCGGTCGTATCAGGCTGCGCTCAGCAAAGCATTTTGTTGGCTTATATCAAAAACAAATGCAGTAAAACCAAAAAACAACGATATATGTTAGAAGGTCAAGATATATCGCATGTGGAGTTTTCACAAAAATCGGAAAAGTTTGACCCTGAAATGTCATTTTCTTTATTTCAGTTTTGGCTGATATCTCAAAAAACTAAAACATTTGTTATAAAAATAACAAACAGGGTAAAATGATCAGCAGGTTTTTTTTCTTTGAAATTTCAGGAAAAATCGGACGACCAATTTTAGAGCTATTGTCCCTGAAATGTCTTCTTTTTCGAAGTCTGGTTACATCCTTAAAATTATAACAGTAAGAGAGGAGTTTTAAAATAGTTAAAAGGACCAGAACAATTAGATCTATAAATCAGTCAAGCATGGCAGAAATCTTCAATAGATCCCTTATAGGAGTAATTGCCTTTGAATGGTGATGTTTATCCTTTTTTTCGTTTTTGGCGAAACTTATTATTATAGTAAATAGAGAGAATTTGGCAATAGTAAAGATTTTCAGCAAAATACATTCTAAAATTAAGTCAATATGAACGAATTCACAATTGGCCCTTATAAGAGTTATTGCCCTTGAAACACGATTTTTACCAATTGTTGTGTTATTTGTAAAACTATAAACGAGTGAAATTGTCGAAAACAAAATGTTCAGCACAAGATCTACAGATATACAAAGTGAACACTACCGAAGTCGTCAATTGACACCATATAGGAGTTATTTTCCTTGAAAGATATAGTTTACCTATTTTATGAATTCTTGTAGGAACAATGATAGAAACAGAGCATCACTAAGAGCAACAATATTCAACCAATATTTTCAGGAATATGATCTGAAAATTATATAAATAAGTCAGTAGTTGAAATTGTATTTAGACATATATATATATATATTATATATATATATATATGTCATTGCCCCTGAGCTATCATATTTACCCATTTTTATGTTTTTTGGGGGAAACTTTAACAGATAGAGAGAAACAGTGAATAGCCAAAAAATTAAAAGATCTACAAATAAATCAATATGATCGAAATTGTCAACGAACTCCTTCTAGGAGTTATTTCCCCTTAATAATGATTTTCTGCATTTTTATCAAATGTAAATAAGATGTGGTATGAGTGCCAATGAGACAACTATCCATCCAAGTCACAATGTGTAAAAAGTAAACAATTATAGGTCAAAGTACGGCCTTCAGGTTGCACTTTGTAAATACAGGTGTTTCTCAAGCCACGCCTCTTTTGGGCAGATATAGAATATTCATAGATAATTAATTTTGTTTACATACTGGTTCCCAGTTATGATCTCTAGGTTTCATCTCATAGAGACATAACTTGGGAATGTTACCAGTAAATATACATATGCATATTGTCTATATAGAAATCTATGGTAATCCCACAGTCAAGGTAGGGATAGTTAAGAAATTTAGTGTTAGTTTAAACTCTTAGAAGTTCGGGGCATATAAACGTTGAAAATATGCCGCACAGCCCTATATTTTGACCTTTGAAAAATATTGTAGTGCATATGAACTTTCCATTCTAGGATATGATTTTTTTCAAAACTTCATAGTAAAAGTGGTACAGTTTTAGCCGTAAAAGGAGTTCCTATGGGAAATTGCATTGTCAATATTTACAGAAATGCAACCTATATTGGGTGAAAAAAGAGAACATACAGAATTAAACCAAATTTGGTTTATCTCACAGATTTTAAAGAAATTAACTCAAATATGGAGTTTTATAAATATTTCATGAAGATTGAGAAAATCCTGGGCCTTAACTATGATGACTCAGCATAAATTCACAGTTTACAGTATGCATAGTTTACTTAAAGCCCTGAATGCAAAATAAATTCATAATATAAGCATATTTGTAAGTTAAATTGTTTAGAAGTGCTTATATTTACTCTTCGCAGTCATTGAAACTCATAGATCCTTCCTGAATATTATTGGTGGGGTGTTTTTGTCCTGTCGATAACCCAAAAGTAAGCTGTAACGCCTAAATCTGCTTTTTTGTCACCGCGGCATAAAAAATACAAGCTTAAAATACAAAAATATCTCAACAAAACTTACAATAGTGTGTTCTATCCTGAATATGTACTAAATATTCCATATTGCTAGAAACAGCAGAATAATTTAGGAAATTCGATGCCCCAGGGGCAAAAAACAGAGAAAATTGCCTACCCCCTGGGTCATAAAACAAATAATTTAAATTGTAAATGCTATGATTTTATGAT